ACCTCAGTTGAGGACCCTTTCAGGATATGATCACACCTTCTTGCAGTAATTGACTCCTTAATTAATAGTGCTACACCACCACCCCTCTTACACTCTCCTATGTCTGGAGATCCTATACCCCGGAAAGTTGAGTTGCCAGTCCAGCCCTTCCTCAATCATGTTTCAGTGATGTCTCCAATATCATACTTCCATATGTCAATCCATGCTATTAACTCATCAGTCTTAGCTATTACACTCTTAGAATTAATGTAAAGATCATCCAGCCGTGCCTTATTCTGTTGACACTCAACATTTCTGAACTCACCATGACTTGCTTTCTTTGCTGTAGCATGATGTGTCTCTATTTCATCAATATTGTGTGTCTTTACCTCCTGCCAGACTAGTTTAAATTCTTCCCAACAGCACTAGCAAACCTACCCACAAGGATGTTTGTCCCAATGTGGTTCTTGTGCAGACCATCCTGTTTGTATATGTCCCATCTCTCCCAGAAACGATCCCAGTGATCCAGGAATCCAAAGCCCCCTGTCATGCACCACCCCTTGAGACACGCATCCATCTGTCCTATTTTCCTATATCTAAACTCGCTAACACGTGGCACTGGGAGTAATCCAGAGAGTATGACCATTGAAGTTCTGCTTTTTATTCTGCCTAGCTCCCTGAATTCTTGATGCAAAACCTCATTTCTCACTTTGCTCATTTCATCGGTACCAACATGTACCTTGACCTCTAACTCATCACTGCCCCCTTTCAGGATGCCCTGCAGCCATTCAGTGACATCCCTGACCCTGGCACCAGGGAGGCAACACACCACCCTGGAGTCACGTCTTCAACCGCAGAAATAACTGTCTGCTCCCCTCACTAAAGAATCCCCTATCACTGTTGCTCTTCCTTTCTTCTTCCTCCCCACCACCCAACCCCGTACAGTCAAGCTGCTTGTAGTGCCAGAGCTTGGCTCTGACCGCACTCCTCCGAGATACCAGCACCCACATCAGCTTCCAAAATGGAATACCAATCTGTGAGTGGGACCCAGGGGAGTCCTGCATTACCTGCCTGACTGTCTGGTGGCCACCCATTCCCTTCTTTCCTCTAGTCCCTTGAGCTGTGGTTTAACCACCTCTCTAAATGTGTTATCCATGTAACTTTCATCCTCCATGGATGCGCCACAGTGTCCCCAATCGCTGCTCAAGCTCTGCAGAAGGGAGAACGTCCTGCATGTGCGGTCATCTAGGAAACTGGCAGCGTCCAGGACTCCCGACATATGACAAGCTGCACATTCCACTCGGCTTATCTCTCCTGACATCTCTTAAACTTAGAATTAACACCTTAAATTAGAATTATTTGTCTTATTTTGTTAGACTTCCTATTCTACTACTAAGATTACGAAAAGGATAACTGTAACTAAATTCCCATTGTTCTAAATCTGTAGGATAAGAAAGGGTTAACGAGCAGGCCCCCAGCACTCATCAATCTGGAGCCTCTCTCAACTTTTGAAATTATGATGTCAACAGGAGCCATGCTGTAGATTCTCACGGTTTTCCTGCTTTATCCGCTGTATACTGGATTTATAGGCTTACCGATTATTATGCCCTGCCTTCTGCTATAGGATTTCCCAGCTGCTGCTCCAAGCTAAATGCCCTATAAAAAATTTCAGTCCCTTGCTTTCTGTTTCCATCCCTTTTTAAATGAACAATTTGTAATCACTATTTCCCAATCTAAAGGAGCCTTCCCTGAATCTAAAGAGTTTTGAAAAATTAAAATTAACACATCATTTCTCTCTCTAGCCACTTTTATTAAGACCCTGCGATAAAGTTCAACAGGATCCAGGACAAGTCACCCCATAGCGCTAACCATTTGTTCAGTAGCTCTTAACCTGTGGTTGTAATTTTGTTGCGTTCCTCCCTCCATTTCCTTTCCTGATTGGTAGCTATTTCTGAGATGCTCAATAGTGAGATCCACGTAAAACACATGTTTAATTCATCTTCCATCTCCTTATTTTTACTCATTCCCCAGACTCACTTTCTATAGGACCAACTTGTTAACTTATTCTGTTTAAAATATCTCTCGAAATTCTTCCTATCCATTCTTAAATTTCTAGCTAGCTTTCCGTCATTGTCTAATTTTCCCTCCTTATTGATCTTTTTAACCACTCTTTCCAGTGTTTTATTATTTGTCTGATCTTTTGACCTATGGAATAAAATGTTTTTTCTTTAAGTTTGTTACTAGCGTTTAATGCTTTTTAGTTTACTACCAATTGTGGGTCTTTCTCTTGGAATTTTTCTTTCTCATTGGGTTGTGTCTATCCTGTATATTCTGAAATATCTGCTTCAATGTTTGGCACCCAACTCTATTGATCTTTCAACTAACCAAGTTTGCCAATTCATGTTTACAGCACAGAAGCAGGCCATTCAATATTTTTGTGTCTGACAACATTAACCCCATTTTTCAAAACTTGGCCCATAGCCCTTGAATGCAAGTGAATATCTAAATACTGCTTAACTGTTACAAGAATTTCTGACTGAAACACCCTTTCAGGTAGTGAGTTCCTGATTTCCACCACACTTTTGGTGAACAAATTTCTCCTTAATTCATCTCTTAGCTTTTTACCTCTAACCAGAAATCAATGCCCCCTTGATTAGTAGCCCTTCTATTAATGAAAAAAGTGCCTTCCTATCCACACTATCTGTGGTCCTTGTAATCTTATACACATCGATCAAGTCCCATTTTAACCTTTACTGCTCCAAAGAAAATAACCCCAGCCTATCCAGTGCTTCTCCTCATAGCTCAGACTCTCCAGTCAAGGCAGCATCCTGCTAAATTTTCTCTGCACCCTCTCTATGACAATCAAACCCTGCCAATAATCTCATATTCCATGATTTGGCTAACAGAGGCAAGTACCTCATATGCTTCTTAACCATCTTATCTTCCTGCCCTGCTATCTGCACACCAAGATCCCTCTGATCTTCGGTACTTTCCAGATTCTTATCTTGCATAATCTAATTCCTCACCTTGTTATCCCTCCCTCAGTGCATGAGGAGTGAAGTTCTACTTACCACTGCTCTACCCAGCTGACCAGTTCAATTCTATCCTCCTGCAGTTTTTAGCTATGCTCATCACTACATACCAAAGTACCAATCTTCATCTTATCTGCAAACTTCTTGAGATATCCCCATATTTAAGTCCAGATCATTAATGTACACTATAAACAGCAAAAGCCCCAGTATCAAGCCATGTGGAACTCTACTGTAAACAAACCTCCAGTCAAAGAAACCTCTCTCTACCATCACCCTCTGCTTCTTGCCTTTCAGCCAGTTTTGGATCCAGTGTGCCACTTTGCCTTTGATCACATGAGTCTTACTTTATTTCAATATATCCAGAAGTGCTATGACACACAGCTGAGCAACTTTCCCACCACCAAATCACTGTGAATTTTTTTGATGTTTTTAAAACTACTCACCACCACCAATACAGCAAAGCCCATTATGGACAATACAAACTATCAAAAGTGTGGGGGAGGGAGGGAGAATGGGAAGGGGCTAAATCAAAATGCGTTTGGAGAGAGAAATAAAGCACTGTGTCCACTGCGGTGCACACCTCTGCTCTTACTTTCTTGATCAGTCTGCCCTTTTGAAGTCCTTGTCAATCACATCAAGCACCTTCACCCCTAATTAAGTCCCCCTAATAATAATTACAATTAATTTGCTTAATTAATTGGTCTTCTCTCTCATTTGCTGTACAAACTTAAACCTTAGAAACAAACCGATGTTATCGCTTAAGAATACAATAAAAAATGAAATATATCTTCCTTTCTGTTGAAGTCTTAGGGTCCAGTAGATACAATGGACTGCCTGCCTCAGGGTCCTCCATTCCTCTACTCCGTGGTATGTGGTTAGCCATTTTGGACTGAAATGAGAAAAAAAAATTTTACCTGGAGAGTGGTGAACCTGTGGAATTCTCTATGACCGAAGGCAAAGGAGTCCAAGTTACAGAATATATTTAAGAAAAAAAATACATTGATTTCTGAAATCTAAAGGTGTTGAGGGGATGAGAAACAGCAGGAGTTTGTCATGAAGAGAGGATCAGCCATGATTGTGTTGAATGGTGGAGCTAGATCACAGGCTGCATACCTTCTCCTACTCCTATTTTCTAAGATTTTCTTTCTCGAGGAGGTGCCCTTTGCTTCTCCTTGTGCCATCATCCTCAGAGGAGACTTTCTTTATTTAACCAACCAGCTGCTGACCCACATCCAGTACTTTAAGTTCAAGTCCGGAAGTTCTTTGAGGGTGAAGTGCACAGAATGAGTCAGCAAGCCTTTTGCATTACAGCTTGCTGTCAAGCCTGTTGATCAAATTCCCACCTGTGTGCTACCCTGATGAATTGGCTTACATTACCATTGTGTATTAGTTCGAAAAGAAGGAGTTGGTTAGCTCAGTTGGCTGGATGGATAGTTTGTGATTCAGTGTGATTCCAACAGCATGGGTTCAATTCCCACACCGGCTGAGGTCCCATCTTCTCAACCTCGCCCCTGGCCTGAGGCATGGTGTCCTTCAGGTTAAACTCACCTCTAGTAGTCTTTCTCTAATGAGACATGAATCCTATGGTCAACCTTTTTAGTTGGCCCAGAGGCTATCCATCTGTATTCCAAGAAGAGTTGGTGCCTTCTGTCAGAAAAGTAGAACAAAACAATCAAAGATAGTAAGAACTGTAGATGCTGGAGTCAGAGATAACACAGCGTGGAGCTGGAGGAATACAGCAGGCCAGGCAGCATCAGAGGAGCAGGAAAGTCTGAAGAAGGGTTCCAACCCGAAATGTCAGCTTTCCTGCTCCTATGATCCTGCCTGGTCTGCTGTGTTCCTCCAGCTCCACGCTGTGTTATCCAGAACAAAACAATCCTCATTTTAGAACACAGAGCATTAATATGGTCACAACATGAAGTGATGTAGCGTTATTTCTCACAGATTGTATGAAGATTAATTTCTCCTCCTGTTCCCACTTCATTTCAGGCATCCTCCCCCCAGCAGAATCAGCATTCGACAGTGGACGTCAGTCAGCTGCATGATCCTCATGCTTTCAGCCAGCACTCTGTTCAAGTCCAGCATGTCCAGGTGCCCGATCAGTCCACTTCCATAGCCCCCACTGGGTCCCAGGTAACAGTGCACAATACCTTTCTTGCAGGTGAAGTGGAAAATGTTCACACAATCACAGAATTGTTACGGTGCAGAGCTAGTCAATTGGCCCATCATGCCTGCGGCGGCTCTTCAGACGAGCACCGTTACCTCGTGCCAATTTCCTGTTTTTATCCTCGCACACTGTTTATATCCAAGTAATCTTCCAGCACCCTCTTGAATGCCTCAATTGAACCTGCCTCCACCATGTTTCCAGGCAGTACGTTGCATACCTTAACTATTCACTGCGGAAAGGTTTTTCCTCACATCACCCCTGCTTCTTTTGCACATCTATGTTGGCACTAAATCTATGACATCTCATTCTTGTGTTTTTTTTAATGCGTGGGAATAGCTTCTCCCAATCGACTGTATCCAGCCCACTCATGTTTTTGATCACCTCTGTCAAATCTCCTCTCAGCTGCCTTCTCTCCAAGGGAAACAGTCACAACTTCTTCAATCTATCCTCATAGTAGAAGTGTCTTATTCCTGGGACTGTTTTTGTCAATCACTTCTGCACTGTTCTGCATTCACATCTTTCCTATAATGTGGTGCCCACAACTGAACACAGTACTCCAACTAAACTCTAACCAGTGTCTTATCCAAGTTCAACGTCATTGCCTTGCTCTTCTACTCAGTAAGTTGACCAGGAACAGGATTTACTATTCTGCTCTTTCTACACTCATACTATTTTAAGTCAAGCCCTGTGCCTGAGGTTTCAGTTTGTGTCCTTGGCACATGTTCTCAAGATGTACCATTTGATGAGCATAAGAAGTGCTTTGCTCCATCTTTTGGTTTGTATCTTGAACCAAAATGCCCACAACGGGTTGTACAGTGAATGCTCGACAATCTTTTACAGATGGACACACTAAATATCTGCCATGATTTCCTAAAACAGAGCACAAGTATTGTCTGTCCACATTAACCAAACAGTGCATCCTCCTAGCCAGGAAACAGGCCTACGTTTTCCTAAATAGCAGTAAAAGCACTTTGAAAGTATTGAATAATAAGGATAAGTCAGGACCTTGCGGGAAGGGACTAAATTGGGGAAAGGCAAATTATGTCAGTATTAGGCAGGAGCTAGGGAGTGTTAATTGGGAGGAGCTGTTATCGGGCAAGTCCACATTTGACATGTGGGAATGGTTTAAAGAACTACGAATCCGAGTTCAGGACCAACATGTTCCAGTAAGGAGGAAGGACGAGGATGGCAAGGTAAGGGATCCTTGGATAATGTGGAAGGTTATGAATTTAGTCAAAAGGAGTAAAGAAACATATATGTAAGGTTTAGGAAGCTAAAATCAGACTGGGCTAGTGGAGAATATAAAGAAAGCTGGAAGGAACTCAAGCAGGGAATTAGGAGAACAAGAAGGGGCCATGAAATGACTTTGGCAAGTAGGGTTAAAGAGAATCCAAAGGCATTCTATACATACATTAAAAACGAGAGGATAACTAGGGAGAACATAGAACAGTATAGCACAGTACAGGCCCTTTGGCCTATGATGTTGTGCCGAACTTTTACCCTAATCCTAAGGTCTATCTAACCTCCACCCCTACCTTATACTATCATCCATATGCTTATCTAGTAGCCGCTTAAATGCCCCTAATGAGGCCGACTCCACTACCCTCTCCGGCAATTCATTCCATGCCCCGACCACTCTCTGAGTAAAGAAACTACCTCTGACGACTCCCCTATATCTACCTCCACTCCATTTTAAATCTATGCCCCCTCGTAATAGCTACCTCCACCCTAGGAAAAAGTCTCTGGCTGTCTACTCTATCTATACCTCTGATCATTTTGTACACCTCTATCAAGTCACCTCTCATCCTTCATTTTTCTAAAGAGAAAAGCCCTAGCTCTCTCAACCTTTCCTCGTAAGACCTTCCCTCCATTCAAGATAGGACCACTCAAGGATAAAGTGGGGAACTTGTGCTTCAAGGCAGAGGATGTGGGTGAGACCCTAAATGAGTACTTTGTGTCAGTATTCACCCAGGAGAAGGATATGGAGGATAGTGAGATTTGTGTGGAGCATGCTAATATGCTACAGCATTTTGAGATCAAGAAAAGTGGTGTTGGGACTCTTGAAGAGCATTAAAGTGGATGAGCCCCTAGGGTTGTAAAGAAGGCATGTGACATGCTTGCCTTTATTGCTCAGGGAATTGAGTGCAAGAGTCAGGATGTCATGTTACAGCTTTATAAGACTTTAGTTAGCCACACTTAGAATATTGCATTCAATTTGGGCTACCACATTACAAGTAGGCTGTGGAGGCTTTGGAGAGAGTGCGAAAGAGGTTTACCAGGATGCTGCCTGGATTAGAGGGAATGAGCTATAAGGAGAGGCTAGAAACACTCGGGTTGTTTTCTCTGGAGCGGCGGAGGCTGAGGGGAGACTTGGTAGAAATCTATAAAATTATGAGATGCATAGATAGGGTTCACGGTCAGAATCTTTTTCCCAGAGCTTAAATGTCTAACACTAGAGGGCATGCATTTAAGGTGAGTGCGAGAAAGTTCAAAGGAGATGTGTGGAGCAAGTTTTTATACACAGCGGTAGGAGTCTGGGACACACTACCTGTGGTGGTGGTGGAGGAGGCAGATACGATAGGGGTGTTTAAGAGTTTTTCAGATAAGCACATGAATATGCAAGGAATGGAGAGATATGGATCAAGGGCAGGCAGAAGGGATTAGCTTAATTTGGCATCATGCTTGGCATAACATCGTAGGCTGAAGGACCCGTTCCTGTGCTGTATTGTTCCAAGTTCTATGTTCTCTGAATGTTTTTAAGGAGCTTTGGGACATCCTCAGGATGTGATAATGTACTATACACATACAAGTTCCATTTAATTTATTTTACGACTCCGCTAGATCAAGAAATTGTGTTACAATTTTCATGCATCCAGCTTTACTTTGCATCTATGGAGTATTTATGAAATGTGTGGTGTATCAGTGTAGGTCATTGGTACATTCACTCAGATCTGAACATCCGAGGGTGCTCAGGGAGCAGTAACTGCCATATTCTAGGAGCTTATCTTCAGTTATGCAAAGGCTTATTTAGAGTTGAAACAAATATTACATTTCTGTAGCAGCTTTCAAATGCTTGGGATATTACAAAGCTCTTCACAGACATGTTATTTGTAACGTTGCCATGCAGGTAATCATCGCAATCGATTAAAGTTTTAGCAAAGATTTGTAGCTCGAGTTATGGGTGAGGCTTGCTATGGCCGAGCTGGCTTGTTTTCGTTCAGACGTTTCGTCACCATGCTAGGTAACATCATCAGTGAGGCCTCTGACCAAGCAATCGATTTAAGTATGTCCAGTACTCTGTAGTCATGAGGTGACTATCAGTTATCCAGTTTTGAGGGATGAATATCACTGGGAAAACTTCCTTACATAGTGCTTTGAAAGCATTTAGGTCACGTTTGAACATATTGTCCGAAACATGCTTCCTCCAACTGTGCAGCAGCAAAACGTTAACATCAATTCTCATTACCAAGCCTTCAGAACCTAGCTAGCTCTTGAGATTTGCCTGTCACAATTAATGGTATCTTATCTGGCGCAGCTATAAATCCTTTACTAGAAACGGTAACCTACATGTAATCCGTCATTTCTTTTGAATGTTTTCCCTCTTGGAAATTACTGTCTTCTGCTTAGTTCACAATGATGAGGTGACCTCCAGGGGTTAATTGAATGAGCAAACTGAATGACCTTTCTTCAAAAAGTGAACATCTTGAATATGTTGTGTTCCTCCTTCTTCTTACCCCATTTTTGTGGAGTCTTTCACGGCAACTTGACTTGAAAGAGTCTGACCAAAAAGTATCATGATGCTATGAAACATCATCCTCCAAGTGATAGTCTTCCCAGAACTGTGACCAGGAATTGACTCGCTCCCGTGTTGTGAAAAGAATGAAAACATCTAGGTCAGAAGAATGCTCAGTAACATCAGTCTGAGGGTGCAGGACATTCCTCAGGGCTGAATCTGAAAGTAAATGTTGTTGAACTGACTTTGCTCTGGTAGCAGCCATACTGTACAATTCATAAAGTTCATGGGTGAGGGATCTCTGTTTACACTGAGCAGCAAAGAGGTTGTGAGTTTTTGTTATTCACAAGCATTTAGAGTTGAAGTTCAGAAGTTTACAATTATTCCGAGTTCTTCAAAAAATTATATACAATGGAGCAATACCTCTCAGTACTCAGGATTTTGTTGATCTGTTTGTTCCAAAGAGTTTCCTCCAGCCTCTATCACAGCCTACTTAGGTCAAGATTCTAACAAACTTAAATGAAAGAGTATTCTCAGTACTATGAGCACTGCTTTAGATTGTGTAGTAATATCTGTTTGTTAACTGATGTTCTCATTCTCTTGGAAATGTGTGTTTGATTGTAGACTGGAGGAGGTCAGCCACTGAGCCCTTCTTCGCAACCACCACAAGAACTCAGTCCTTCTCAGATACAGGGCGGAACATCAACACAAAACCCAGTGTTACAGCAACAACCAACAGCTTCTGTACAGCATACATACCTTCCTAGCACCTGGGGATCCTTTCGCAACTACTGTAAGTGGCTGTCATAATTCAAGACCCAACCATGAACCATCTTGTCACGAGTCTGTACACATCTTCCTCTCCTTTCCTATATATATAAAACCAACACACTAGCTGTATAATCTAGTAAATGAAAATATAATTTCTTCTATCCAAAAATTGTCTGTACAGAGCACTTAGTCAGCCAGAATTTCTCAGTTAGAACCAATTGTTCAAGTCTCTCAAATGCTGATAGACATTTTCGGAACTGTAATGACAGTAGGCTAGGCAGAGTCAATTTAACTGAATTGGATTTGAGATCTGTGAAATAACTCCACAGAAGCCAGTATCCCATCACCAAGTCACTCTTTATTTACATGTGGAAAGGTCTTGACACTGATCCAGCCCCCTCAGAGCGACACTCCTGTTTTTGACTGTCAGCCAGGGCTCCCTGTTTGGACCAGATTAACAGCCCCATCAGGGAACTCCTATTCAATGAGATCCATCTGGCTACATTATAGTCACTACAAGCTGTTGTCGGTGGCTCTGTCTTTATGCTTGCTAACGTGAGAAATATTGAGGAGGATCCTTCCCTGTGGATATCCTGTAGAAATTATTTAATTTCTCTTCCTGAGGGCATTGGTGCAAATGGATAGCTGCTCTCTAACACATCAGCATTTATTTGGTTCTCTATTCATCTTTAGAAATCTCAAAGGCCTTTCCTACCACCGCCATTTGTAGACTTATCTGTTCATCATCTTTTATTGCATTGAGCAAAGAATGCTGGCCGAGACAGCTAGGAAACTTGCTGCTCTTTGAGTAGTGTTTTGTGATCATTTGGAATTGTTACGATCCTGGTCTTGCCACCAAATTTGTGTTGCAATCTGTTTAGGGACCAGTAACATTTTTAAAAAGTAGACAAAGTGTGAGATCCACAGGGACTTTCTTGTCATAGAGTAATACATCATGGAAACGGACCCTTTGGTCCAATTCATTTATGCCGACCAAATTTCTCAAACTAAACTTTTGTCTGCATTTGCCTGTGTTTAGTTCATATCCCTCTAAACCTTTCCTATTCATGCACCTGTCCAAATGTCTTTTTAAATGTTGTAACTGTACCTGCATTGACCACTTCCACTAGCAGTTCATTCAACGTATGAATCACCCGCTGAATGGAAAAAATTGACCCTCAGGTCCCTTTTAAATATTTCTCCTCTCACCTTAAAACTATGCCTCCTAGATTTGAACTCCCCTACCATTGGGAAAAGACCTTTGCTATTCACCTTTATCTATGCCCCTCATGATTTTATAAACCTGTATAAGATTATAAGTCACCCCTCAATCTCCTACACTCCAGCGAAAACAGTCTACAGCCTGACAACCAGAAGTATGTACAGTACTCCAAAGGTGGCCTCACCAACATCCTATACAACCGCAACATAATGCCCAGCTCCTATACTCGAAGATATGAGCAATGAAGGCAAGTGTGCTAAGCGCCTTCTTTACCATGCTGACTACCTATGATGCAAATTTCAAAGATCTATGCACCTGAACCCTTATGACTCTGTTCAACAACACTTCCCAGGGCCCTACCATTAACTGTACAAGTCCTGTCCTTGTTCGTTTTACCATAATGCAACACCTCACATTTATCCAAATTAAACGCCATCTGTCCCTCCCTGGCCCATTGGCCCAATTGATCAAGATCTCTTTGTAATCCTAGATGATCTTCTTCACTGTCCACAATACCATCGGTTTGGTGTGTAACAAGTCACCACAGTTAAGCATAGTTTCTTCACTGGTCCAGTAAGGGCACCAGGTAGAAGGGGAGAATATTTTCAGAGGGAAACAGCCAATGCAGGTGCGAGCTATGGCTGGGAGAATTACTGCTGCGTACCATCAGGGCAATATAGAATCATAGAAAGGTCACAACACAGAAGGGGGTCATTCAGCCCATTGTGTCTTAATTGCTATAGTGACAACTGGAAATCAGTTTTAACGCTACAATTTGACAAGTTTTAAGGACTATCTTACAACAAGGGTCCAATTTATGTCTCGTCTCAACCCAACCCACTATGGACAATAGCTGGCACCATCTGGGGTCAAGGCTTAGGAAAGAGTTCTGCAGGAAGACTATTTCACAAGTCAAGAAATCTAAAGTAAATTATTCTGGTGGGCCTCGTCTGCCTCTTAAGAGAATGGAGATCTCAACCTATCATAGCCTTTATGACTCAGATTGACTTTTCAGGTTTCGATGTGACAAGGATCTTTTCATTATTGATTTTGTCCATTTGGCTAAGGTTCAAAGTCAACATTTACACATGGTTTTATCAGAACAACCCCTGCAGGTTGTCAGTGAATCTTTCTGTCTTGTCACACGTTTACCATGCCCAGAGACTGGCTAATACCAACCTTTTCTTTGTGGTGGCCAAGAAACTAACCTGTAGTCAGTGTGACCAAAGCATGCTGATCTAGGCTGAGGCGCTATGTATCCTGCACTTGAATAACTGCACACAGCTTCACAGAGTGCGCGTGAATTAGCCTAGCCCTAAGGAAATCTATTGTGGGGACCTCTGTGTGATGAGGATCAGTGACCTGGAGTGGGGAAGAGTGGTCAGTGACCTGGAGTCCTTAGAGAATAAAGACGCAAGATTTTACATTTTTGAGTAAATAATAATAAACTTTACCATGCAACATTAGCAAATTAATACAATCCGCAAGGAAGTACAGTTTATTTCTAACACACATAATTAACATGTAATAAATATGCGTAGTAGCTTGTGACTGAATACCACGCAGTGCTCATCAAATAGCAGATGTGATCATGACAGATCCCACTGATTTCTCAGTGGTTCCTTCTGGACATTAATGACCAATTGGGTTATTGAATATCATTAAACCTCACGGGGATGACAGTTCTTCACTTTTGACGATCTCACCTTGAAGCTCCCTCTTGAGTTGCTCAGTCTTTGACTGCCTCAACAATTGCTCCTGTTCTGTGTAATCACTCAGCTGAGTTTCCCTGAACTCCAAAATTTCACTCCGGTAGTCATTACTTATTCCAAAAACATAACTCTCTCTTCTCCAAAAACTAGCCTCACCAAGCCAGTCCTTCCCCTGGGTTTTTTTCCAAGCTCCTTTACAGAGCCCATGACCTTTCCATTTTCTCAGTTCCCCAGTATTTCTTCTGCGTCCTGACTCCAACACTTAGCTGCCTACTAATTCTTAGACCCTTTCCTAATTTCTAATGGCACAGAGCCATCCAACTGCCCTTGAGTTGCCACTGAGACCCCTAAACAGAATCTGTGTACTTTTGCTATCTTCCCAGAAGCACAGCTGATTACAGTACTCCCAGCTCAGAATCTGTTTCTGTTCCTGTCTCATTTCCTCACTATTGTGTGTAACATTGAACTCCTCTTCAGTGACCCCTGAGTGACCTGTCAAAAAATGCAACAAGTCCCTATCGCTGGGCAGAAACGAATATTACTAACATTTGGAAACTGTTAACGTAAGAACCCTAAGAGTATCTTGAGTGAACCTCAAGGTTACCTTTGTCAGAATGCGGAAAAAGTATTTCATAATAGAAAACATGAACTTAAAGAGGCCATTCAGTCCTTTGAACATATTCTGTCATTGAGTAGATCCATACCAGCCAGATTCACAGAATTGTTATGGTGCAGAGGAGCCCATTATGTATGAACATTTTAATTTGGTGCCAGTTTCCTACCTTTTCCTTGTAGCCCTCCACGTTGTTTCTATTGAATGAGCATCCAGTTCCCTCTTGAATGCCTCAATTGAACCTGTCTCATCACATTTCCAGGCAGTGCATTCGGACCTGAACCACTCACTGTATGAAAAAGTTTTTTTGTCACTTTGGAAAATACTTGAAATCTGTGCAATCTGTTTCTCAATCCTTTTATGAACAGGAACAGTCTCTCTGTAATAACTCTGTCCAGACCTCTCGTGATGTTTAAAACCACCGCTTAACCTTCTCTTCTCCAAGGAAAACAGCCCCAACTTCTCCAATCTATTCTCATGACTGAGTGTCTCATCCCTGGAACCATTCTTGTAAACCTCGTCTCTCCAATGCCTTCACATCTTCGCTAAAATGTGCTTTTGCACCCTATTTCATGGTACTCTTGGTAACAAAAATCTACCAGTTTCCTTTGTAAAATGTTTCATTAATTGCAGCCTCAACAGCCTTCTTGGAGACATTTTGCTGAAGTCTGACTGTTGAAATGCTTCTTGACTTTATCCCAAATTCATTAGTGTTAATTATTCTAGACTAAGCCACAGAGGAAATTATTTCTTTCTAACCAATCATTTTAAGCAGTTCAAATAGTTGTGGCACCAAAACAGATTGTTCTTGAACACCCTACTCCTGTGTATATTCATTATCCCTGCTCTCTGTCTCCTGTCTCCTCACCAGTTTTTCATTCATGTCACCAACCTGTACCATCAGAATGAGTTATTCCTTCAATATCTCAGCCAAAAAAAAATGCTTGGAAAAGTGCAACAGTTCCTCACTACTCTGTGAAGTGCTAATCTAGATCAGATACAAAGGTTTTACATTAGCATGTGTACTCGCAGGTCAAGTGAAGGGCTGTTGTGGCACAGCGGTAATGTCCCTATTTCTGAGTCATAGAAAAGAAACAAAGCTGGTAATAGTAGAATGAAAACCAGTAAGCAAAATGAGAAGTTGCTTAAAGTATGGAAAAATGTTATAAAAGTCAGATCAAAGACATACCATCTGAATGCACAGAGCATTCACGACAAAGTCGGTGAAGTGACTGCACAAATAAACATGGTCTATCCTAATGCCATCATGGAGTCGTGGCTTCAGCGTGACATAGGTTAGGAAATGAACATTCAAGAGTATTCAATATAGGATGGATAGGCAAAAAGGAAAGGGAGATTGGGTAGCACTCTTCATAAAGGATGAAATAAGCATGTTAGTGAGAGAGGATATTTAATCAGAAGATCAGGAAGTAGAATTAGCTTGGCTGGGTGGACTACAGAATCGGCAAAGGCAACAAAGATTTATGGGAGTTATTTATATGCAAAACAGGAAAAGGAGCGTGGTATTGTTAAAGGATGAGGTTGGCATATTATTGAGAGAGAATCTTGGATCAGAAGATCAGAATGTAGAATTAGTTTTGGTGGAACAAAAAAACAAGTGTCGCAAAGATTGGTGAAAGTTGTTTACAGACCATGAAACAGAAATGAAAATGTAGGGTGAGGTATTAGTCATGAAATTAGAGTGATTGCAACATTGGGAAACAGTAATTGTGAGGGACTTCAATCTTGGTTAGCTTAATGAGCATTAATGCTGTTGATTACAAATTGCTGGAATGTATATCAGGCTCGACTTTTGTTGCCATTCCAGCTGCCTCCCTACTAGTATGATATTGGCATATTGGGAATATGATGGGAATGTAGTGTCTTAGAGTATGATCTCAATTAGCAATCCCAAGCATTGAAGCTATTAGTGTGGGGACTGCTGCACTTGCTCTCCTCCAAACAGGAAATGGAAGAATGATTGTTCTGGTCACAGCAACTAAATATGATCCAGATTTTCTTTTTTTAAAAAAACCCAAATGTACAGTTTTTGTTTCATGCCTTCAGAAATCCTAGCGTGAAACCAGCTGTTTCAAATGTGACTCCATTTGTGGTCAGTGAGTGGCTAAATCATAGAATCACCAAATAGTTTCAGCACATCATCTCTATGCTGCCTTTCTGCAAGAGGTGATCAGCTAATCTCACTTCACTGCCCTTTTGCTGTCAGTTACAAAATGTTCATCTTTAAATATTGAAAGTCAAAATTGAATCTTTCCAGGCAGAGCATTCTGGATCGTCACCATTTTGCACAAAAATATTGTCATTTTGTCACATTTGGTTCTTTGCCATTCATCAAATTTGGGAGTATTTTTAAAGTAAATGACCATGTGAGAAAAAGAAAATTTTCAATGGAAACAAATGAAAAACTAATTGTAAAGTGCATATACAATCTGGATGTGAGCTGTACTAAAAAATAGAGGGCAAGATTTACTCCATATTTAAGCCCTTGCTGTACCTGTCCTGTATTTGTTTGATGGTACAGTATAAATGCATAGGACCCAACACCGAGTTTGATAACTTCACAGCCTGATTCCGTCTTCCATGTTTTTACCCACTCCCACGTTTTTACCCACTCCCACACCCAGTCCTGTTATGGAATGGGTTGCTTTTAGCATAGTCACCCGTTTTCACCACTTCCTTAGTCACATTATCACATTATATGGGATGCATTCAGCACAGCCATCCCATCTTCTCCTACTGTTAGCTCTTACTATCACTTTTTCAGCTTTTTTACTGTCCTGGCCTACTGTCCATAATCACCTTGTTTACCAACCCTTTTATATGTCTCTCTCGGCTCCATCTCCACTTAACTGCTCACTTATCCTTCCCCACCCCCTTCAATAATTGCAACTTTTTCCTAGTTAACAGTTGAACAGTTCTAATGAAGAGTCCCTCGACTTGAAACGTTAACATTGCTTTCTTTCCACAGCTGCTGCCAGACTACTGAGCTTCTCCAGAAATTTCTGTTTTTGCTTAAAACCTACCTCTCAACCATCTTTCCAAACATTCCTTTATGTGGCCCAACATCAAATTTTGTTGGTAATACTTATGGGAAACACCTTGATGTTTTACTGAATTAAAGGTGCAATATAAATGCAAATCATTTTTAAAGTTATTATTGACTGTCTTCCCATCTGGCCTCTGTAATTGTAACCGACGGTTGTTTCAATCTGTGGTTAAAGAATTTCTCTTTAAACAAATTTTCTCGGTTGCAGCCTCTGAGATTCAGATGATGACCATTCCTCAGACCCAGTATGTTATTGCAGAAGCTCCTGTAGCTACAGTAAACAGTGGCCAGGTGAAAGCTGTGACACAGGTAAGTTTATTTGGTTGAGGATGATATCTTCAAAATGTTACAGACTGTGATGTTGAGGTGCATGCTTCTCCTTCAGAGTTGTAAGTGGGATATTCTCTTTTTGATAAAAACCAAGTAAATCGGGAACAAAAACAGAAGTTGCTGGAAAAGCTCGGCAGGTCTGGCAACATCTGTGAAGAAAAATAAGGGCTAACGTTCCAGGTTCAGTGACTCTTCCTCAGAACTGTTCTGAGGAAGTGTCCCGAAACGTTAACTCTGATTTTTCTTAACAGATGCTGCCAGACTTGCTGAGCTTTTCCAGCAACTTCTGTTTTTATTCTCTTTTTGGTGATTGTAAACTAAATTGCCAAAGATGCAATGCTCAGTGGGAATGTAAGCTGTGAGGAGGACTCAGAGGCTGTAAAGAGATATAGACAAGTTCAGAGAGTGGAAAGCAAGGTGGTAGATGCAGTAAAATGTGGGTAAGTTTGAAGCTATTCACTTTGATTGTCAAAAAAGACACATTGAATGTTTTTAAGAGATGTGAATCTTGTAAATGTTAATGTTCAAAGAGACATGAATGTGCTCATGCATGGAGCTCATACAGAGAGCATTCAGGTGCATGCAGCAATTATGAAAGCAAATGGCATGTTGGTTTTACTTGCAAAGAAATCAGAGAACAAAAAAAAATTCTTGCTACAACTGTACAGCGCATTGGTGAGACCATACCTGGAATACTGTGTGCAATTTTGGTCTCCGTAATTAAGGAATGATATTTTTACATTACAGGCAGTCTGCAAAGGTTCACTGGATTGATTCCTGGGATGAGGAGTTTATCCAATGATGAGAGACTAAGTAAATTGGGTCAATATTCTCTAGAGTCTAGAATAATTGAGAGGTGATCTCATTGAAATTTTCATGACTCTGAAGGGACTTCACAGGGTTTGTTTGGCTGGGGAATCTAGAACATGAAGGCACAGTCTTGGGGAAAGGGATCAATCATTTAGGACTGAGATGAGAGACATTTCTGCACTGTAGAGGGTGGTGAATGTTTGAAATCCATTGTTCGAGACTGGGAGAGACCGATTTACTGATTTCTTGGAGAATAAAAGGATACAGAGAGTAGATGAAAAAGTGGAGTTGAATCAGATCAGACACGAGATCATATAATCTATTTATTTTTCTCTTATTTTTTTACAGTTTCTGAGAGGTTTCTGTTAATGTTTCTGTTATAACACAGAAGGGAACTCATTGAATCTGTATGAACTTGTTGATGACACTGTCCATTAATCCCACTGCCCTTTCTCCCGAAAGCAATCTTTTATCTCTAAATGTTTAGTATTGCTGATTTCAGTGTAGTTGGAATTTAATCCTGTTGTCTTTTTGCTAGCGTATTATAAGCCGTAAGAACTTTACAATATTCTCTTAAATCCGACCAGTTCACTTTAAAACTGCAATTACTCATTAATGGTTCAGAAACAACTCCTCTATGATTCCTATGAAATCTCTCCACCTTCTCTATTAAGAGGTGAGAAATCCATGCTTACCCAACTTTGTCATGTAACTGAGATCTTTCAATCCTGGTGCCATTTTAGTCAATTTCTGGGCCGTCTTCATGATTTTGACATGATTCCTGCAGTGGGTGCCCAGAGTGGTGCTCTAAGCAAGGGCCTAACTAATGTCTTATTAAGATTCGATGCAACGTACTTGCTTTTTGTAATGTGTGCCTCTGTCATTGAAATCCAAGGTCCCTCTTTTTGAACAATCTTCGCAATTGGTGCCTGTTCCCAGATGGTAAACATCATGATGCTGGACACTCTCACATGTAAGCCTCTCCCAGTTGCTTTCCAGCAGCAATGGTATGAAACAGGAATACTGGCTGATTTTTCCCAACAACTCCATCCTCAACCCAGGGGAACTGAAGCAAGTTGTTGTGCCCCAATCATTGACCTCAGCAAAACTGGGGAGTCGATGGCCTAGTGGTATTATCACTGGACTGTTAATCCAGAGATCGGGATAACATTCTGGGGACGCAGATTTGAATCCTGCCACAGGAGATGGTGGGATTTGAATTCAGTAAATATCTGGATTTAAGAATCGAATGACTACTATAAATCCATTGCCAATTGTCGGAAAAACCCATCTGGTCCTTTTGGGAAGGAAACAGCCATCCTTACCTGGTCTGGCCTACGTGTGACTCCAGACCCACAGCAATGTGGTTGACTCTCAACTGCCCGCTGGGCAATTAGGGATGGGCAATAAATGCTGCCTGGTCAGCGATGCCCTCATCCTTTTAATGAATAAAAAAAAGGAAATTGGCACCAACTGCAGGTAGACTGTTGGATCCTTCAAATTCATGCTGTGTAGCCCAAACAACATAAGCTCCTGCCCTGAGCTGTTATCTGTTCTCATGTTTCTCATGTTTACAAATCTAAGATACAAAATAGAGAGATAAAGAAAATAAAGTTTTGGAAAAGCAAATCAGGGCAGGACTTATACACTTAATGGTAAGGTTCAAGGAAGTGTTGCTCAACAAAGAGACCTTGGAATGCAGGTTCATAGTTTCTTGAAAGTGGAGTCACAGGTAGATAGGACAGTGAAGAAGGCGTTTGGTATGCTTGCCATTTTTGGTCAGTGCATTGAGTATAGGAGTTGGGATGTCATGTTGTGGCTGTACAGGACATTAGTTAGGTCACTATTGGAATACTGTGTGCAGTTCTGGTCTCCCTGCTATAGGAAAGATATTGTGAAACTTGAAAGAGTTCAGAAAGGATTTATGAGGATGTTGCCAGGGTTGGAGGGTTTGAGCTATGAGGAGAGGCTGAATAGGCTGGGGCTATTTTCCCTGGAGTGTCAGAGGCTGAGGGTTGCCCTTTTAGAGGTTTATAACATCATGAGGGTATTGGATAGGGTAAATAGACAATGTCTGTACCCTGGGTTGGGGAAGTCCAAAACTAGAGGGCATAGGTTTAAGGTGAGAGGGGAAAGATTTAAAAGGGATCTAAGGGGCAACTTTTTCACACAGAGGGTGTTGTGTGAATGGAATGAGCTGCCAGAGGACGTGGTGGAGGTTGGTACAATTACAGCATTGAAAAGGCATCTGGATGGGTACATGAATAGCAAGGGTATAGAGGGATATGGGCCAAATGCTGGCACTTGAGACTAGATTTATTTAGGATATCTGGTCAGCATAGACAAGTTGGACTAAAGGGGTGTCTGATTCTATGTATACCTTTGTGACTCTCTGACCTTACAGTTATTCATTGTATAGGTTAGAAAAATAAGAACTAAAGTTAAAAAGATAAACGTTACAGTTTTTTATAAAGACCCTGCAGTAGATCAATTCAGCGGTCTTTCACATGTGGTCTGACCAGGCTTGCAAACTACTGACCGCCCTCACTGGTTCCCAGCCCAACAACCATGCTGGCTGTCCTGCTCCATTTGGGCCTACAGCCCGCTGGCCATCCCTGCTCCCCTTGGGGTACAGCGGCCGTCTCCGCTCCGCTCCACTCGGGATCAGATTCCAAAGTGATCATTCATGTACTTTTTAAAGGTTGTGAAATTTCCCTCCTTCGGCAGTGCATTTCAGATTCCCATCACCCTCTGGGTGAAAACTATTTTCCTGAAATTCCCTTTAAACCTCCTGCATTTCACTGTAAAATTATGCTCCCTTAGCATTGACCCCATTACTAAGGGGAGCAGCTGCTTTCTATTCATCCTGTCCATGCCCCTCAAAATCTTAATATGCCTCTTTCAGGTCCCCTTTCAGCCTTCTCTCTTTCAAAGAAAACAACCTAAGCTTATCCAGCCTCTGTTCATAGCTGAAATGCTCGATGTGAGGCAACGTTCTGGTGAATCTCCTTTGTGCCCCTCAGTGCAATCATATCCTTCCTATAGTGCAGTGACCAGAACTGCGCACTACTCCAGCTGTGTCCTAACCAAAGTTCTGCACAGCTCCAACATGACCTCCCTGTTCTCATAATCTGTGTCTCAGCTGATAAAGCCAAGCATCCTCATTGCCTTCTTAACTACCCGATTAATTTGTTCTGTCACCATTCAGGGATATGTGGACAAGATGCCTCTGTTTCTCTGAATGTCCTGCCATTCATTGAGTACATCCTTGTCACGCCCCTTCTTTCTAGTGCATCATCTCACATTTATTGGTGTTAAATTCCATCTGCTCTGATCTGCTCATCAGACTAATCCATTTATACCCTCCTGTAACCTGACACCTTCTCACTGTCAACTACCCAGCCAATCTTTGTGTCATCCACAGCATTATTTCTCATCTCTATCTCTCTCTCTCTCTCTCTCTGTCTCTCCACCACCCTCGTCTCTCTCTTTTTCTGTCTCTCTCTCTCTAACCCCCCACATCGTCATCTGCGTCATTTATGAATATCACAAACAATAAGGGAACCAGCACTGATCCCTGTATAATACCACTGCACACCAGGCTCCAGTCACACAAACAGCCTTCTACCACCTGTCTCCTGTTGCTAACCCAATTTTGCCAAATTACCCTGGATCCTGTTAGCTTTTACCTTCTTTATCAGTTTCTCACATGGGAGCTTGCCAAAGACATTGCTGAAATGTGTGTAAACGACATCAACTGCCCTACTCTCATCCAAACACTTGGTCACCTCTTTTGCTAGGCATGATTGGTGGGCGGCACGGTGGCTCAGTGGTTAGCACTACTGCCTCACAGCACCAGAGACCCGGGTTCGATTCCAGCCTGAGGCGACTGTCTGTGTGGAGTTTGCACATTCTCTCTGTGTCTGTGTGGGTTTCCTCTGGGTGTTCCGGTTTCCTCCCACAGTCCAAAGATGTGCAGGCTAGGTGGATTGGTAATACTAATGTGGGGTTATAGGTGGATGGGTCTGAGTGGGATATTCTGAGGGTCGGTGTGGACTTGTTGGGCCGAAGGACCTGTTTTCACCTTGTAGAGATTCTATGATGATGAAATCCATTGCACACTATCACTGATCAAATCTTGCCTTTCTAAATGGAGATTAATTTTCCCCTTGACTATTTCTCAATTAGTGCTTCTACCACTGATGTTAGACTCACTGGACTATAGTTCCCTTGGCCTACTTCTACCACCAGGTGAAGTGGAACCAAAGCTGTCTTCCATTCTTCTGGCATCTCTCCTGTGGCCAGAGATGACTTAGAAATTTGGATTGGGCCTCTGTAATTTTCTCCCTCATCTCCCAAGCAACCTGGGGTATAACTGATAAAAACCAAAAGATGTGTGGATGCTGTAAATCAGGAACAAAAACAAAGTTGCTGGAAAAGCTCAGCAGGTCTGGCAGCATCTGTGAAGGAGAAAACAGAGTTAACGTTTCGGGTCCGGTGACCCTTCCTCAGAACTGGACCCGAAA